GTCTTCAAAGAAAAACAAGAAAGTCCAGTTGCCTCCTGAAAAAGCACCTTTGGGACAACCAGGACTTACCTGGAGGACTGAGAATCTCCACAGACATTTATTAAAGAATAGATGTAATTGAGGACTATCTATCAGTGCCAGTGTAGAAGAGCAGGAGATTAACATCAGGCGCAAATAACCAGGACCTTTATTGATACAAAACATAGAAGGGTTTATTGGTCAACTAACAGTCAAAGCTAAATTGGCGTGTGTCTGTTGACCTGAGTCTCTTGTGGCAACGCAAGGACCTCAAACTGATGACCCGTTTACCTCCACCTTCCAGCTTAGCCTGCTCTTCTACAGCCAATTATCTAGTATATAGGAAGCATCCCAAGTCCTTACAATGAAAACCCACAATCCAGGGCACTTTTCTCCCGTAGATAGGTCGAAACTGCCAAATTCTGGGCTCAAAACAGTCCCAACCTTGTTTTTGAGGGTGCCAAGTTGTGGAAGGCTGAATTAAAAAGAAGAGGCAGGAGGTGAGACTACTTAAAGGATGAACAAGGGAGGGGTTGAGATCAAGACAATAGAGAAGAACCACAGTAGATGTAATCTGTGCGGTGTTTTGCAACCGGCTTGGAATTTGCATTTCGCCTCGAGGCAGCTTAACGAATGAATAGGCAATTCTTCTTAGTAGCAGGAGAAAATAGCCAGGAAAATCTACAGAGATGCAAAATGAGAGGGACCCGCTGGGAGATTTTACGCTGGCCAGAAAAAAAAAAGTTGTAATTCAAGCACCACGTTTGTACAAACACCATTAGGAAACCAAAATTGTCAAGGTAACCCATCAAGGAAATTACGTGTATTTTTTTTTCTCTTTTTCTTTTGGGGTAGGTGGTTTATGAAATACCAGCATGTGGATTCCGAAGGAGCAGTGCGGATCCACATCGATGTACAAGCCAAGAAGTCTATCGGCGTTCACTGGGGAACTTTTGCTTTAGCAAATGAGGTATGTAGAACTCATTAAATGTTTGGTTTAAAATGGAAGGACGTACGTAGAACCACAACTTCACATGTCACTTCAGCAATTAGGACAGGGGTAGGGGAACCGTGGCCCTCTTATGACCTGTGGACTTCGACTCCCAGAATTCCTGAGCCAAACACGCCTGTGGAATGTTTCGATGCTATCTTAAATCCATATGCACGCAGTTCCTGCACCTAATAACGGACGCTTGAAAATTTAAAAAAGGTAATTGTAAATTTCAGTCGTGTGTCTTCACTCCAGAGAGCTCCGTTTCTTAGCCGAGGGAATCCGGGTTGTCTGAAGACACTTTGGTGGACCTGTGGCCAGCATGTCTATATGTCAAAAGGGCACGGAAGTGGTACCTATTTACAGGGCTTTTTTTCTCAGAGAAAAGGTGGCGGAACTCAAACCTGGCCACGCCCTCATCAAACCCTAGGACCGCCCCTTTAGAGAACAGGAATGCAAGTAAAATTTGGGAGGGGCTATTTCCGGTGCGGGAGGGGCTATTTCCGGTGCGGCCGGCCCGGAAAAAGGTGCCGGAACGCGGTTCCGCCGCGT